CCCGGCACTGCTGATTAACAGCCACGTGAAAGCTTGTTCGTGGCTCCTGTTAATTGTCGGGGTCAATTCCTCATTACTGCTGCGTGGCACCTCCTCACCTGGCATGTGGGGTGGTGGGAGCTGGTTATCTGGCCAGTGCTGGCACCCGTGGGTGGGTGGAGGGCAGTGGCGTGGTGTGGAGCCCCTGAGGGGGGGTGGGTCTCTGGTCCCAGAGGGATGCGGCAGCGTTTGGAGATGGTGCTGCTGCTCCGCAGTTCAGACCCACAAGATCCAGGTTCTCGTGACATCCTTGTCACTGCTCCATGGAGCAGGGATGTGAGGTGCCAACAGGCAGAGGCCAGTCCTGCCCCCATACACACTGAAAAGCCACCAGCATCAACCCTGGGTGGCACCGGGGCTGTCACCTCTCTGCCAGGCTGCTCAAGGGGGACAGGCACTTCCCAGGAGCTGCTAAGGGCCACCGGGGCTGGCACTAATGCCCTGTCTGTGCTCCGCAGGCTCATCCGCAGGGAACACTCGGACCCCATTGTGGAAGAGCTGAATCCGGGGGATGCGCTGGAGCCCGACGGACGGGGCACGGGTGGGTCCCCCCCGCCCTGCCAGTCAGAGCCTGTGCCAGGGGTGTGCCACAGCACCACCTGGCACCCTCCATGCCTGGGGACTCTACATGCCCAGCTGGGTCACTTTTCTGCTCCCCACCAGCTCCCAGGAGCCTCCATTGCCCGAGAGCTTCCCCATGCTTTCTCCCTCTGCCTGTACCCGGCTAACAGTGCCGTCTCCAGTTGCTTCCCAGAGCTGCTTTGTCAGGTGTCTCCTTCCAGGGTACCCACTGTTCAAACCCAGCCTCTGCATTTGAGAGGGGTGCCAGGCAGCCTCATGTGTCCCACAGTCTCCCAGGCACTGCCTGCCCTGTCCCACCTCTGCCTGGGCAGCTGACCCACCTGGTCCCACCCATACAGGGATCCTAATATCTGTGCTGGGATCAACCCGGGCCAGGCCCCAGGCATGACCTGATCCTGTCCTTACAGGGGGTGCAGTGACCGATATTGATGGCGATGGAATGCTGGACCTGATCCTGTCCCATGGTGAGTCCATGGCACAGCCTATCTCCATCTTCAAGGGCACCCAGGTGAGTCAAGTAGGGAGTCCTCCTGTTGTCCTCAACCCTTCCACCTCTCCCAGCTCAGCCTCCCTGTTCCCTTCTCCCTCACAGGGCACTGGCAACAACTGGCTGCGCGTCATCCCCCGCACCCGCTTCGGGGCCTTTGCACGGGGGGCCAAAGTGGTGCTGTTCACGCTGCGCAGCGGCGCCCACCTGCGCATCATCGACGGCGGATCGGGGTACCTCTGCGAGATGGAGCCTGTGGCACACTTTGGACTGGGTGAGCTGGGGGGGGTTCAAGTGGCTACCTCCATCCCCAGCCCTCCCCAGTACCCCACTCCCCAGCATGATGGGCTCCTGAACCCTGCACCCCTTTCTGGGCAGGGGCCACCTCTGCCGCCCCAGCACCCTAGAGCACAGGAGTCATTTACACCCATCACCCTGGGCATGGTGGGCTCCAGGGGAGGCTGCAGGCAGGTGCCCAGCTACTGCAGCCCTGCTGCAAGGGGCAGCTGCCCCCTTCCCCACCCCCTGCCTGCTTCTTTTCCCAGGCACTGGGGCTTTCCCTGCCTGCTAACCCTCTCCTATCTCAGCACAGCTGGCAGCCAAGCCCCCAGGGGTGTCCCTGCCCACTGGCAGGGCAGCCCATCATTG